TAGTATTTTCCCATAGGCTTAACATTACGACGTAATGACCTCTAACTGACCTCAGGTCAGTGACCTAAAAAAAACGAACTATATGTTATACAACTCGGTAAACTTAGCACACCCTGAAAGTTTGAAGGAAATTAGTTCAAAACTGAGAGCTGGACAGGTGCAAAAAGAAAATTGAAATTTGACCATGACCTTGTACCGGTTTTTCTGACCTGATGACCTGACCCAAGGTCAACCGGACCTGAAATTTTCAGGTCATATGTCAAAAGATTGCCCCATAGGCTGTATCAAATTTGGCGGCGCTGCGCGCCGCCGTTTTTACGCTATCTTCGAAAAACCTTAAGGGGGGTCGCATCGACCCCCCCCCCTGCCAGGGCGAGGGCTATAGTGTTGCATTTGACTGTATTGTGCCATATATTATACTATGTCGTTTTATGTTGCAATGTTTGTGTGTGCGTTTGTTGGGTGATAACTAACGTGTGTTGACACGTTATATCATGCATCATATCGGAAGCATTCCAAGACGAAAATCTTCATTTAAGAATTAAGATTTTAGCTTTAGGGACCTTGCGTTGTGATGTAACAAAGTTCATCCCCAGCCCCTGCCTTACTAACAATGTCCTTTTATAGTCCTCGTTCCTTACCTGTGACGCCTGTCCTGACCCGCTTCTGATTGGTGTTATGATATGACGTACATGTGTGACGTATGTATGACGCGTGGTATATGTCGCGCCGGAGCGGGCCGAAGCCACGGCAGTCGAGTGGAGAGAATTCTAAGACAGCAACGGACTCGGACCGTGTGAGGGCCGCTCCCTCGCCGGTCGCTTATCTTCACTTGTTCTTTTCGGCTCGTCATCTCGATCGAACTCATTATCTCGGACATTCAAATATGTATAACGTGAAAAGTGAAACGCTGTATTTTAATTATCACGAACTTTATTACACAGGTACATACCGACCGGCATGAGCATTTCGACATAGACATAAGGAGCTCCATTGGCACAATAGACACGGCATCATGTTGTCACTTCCTTAGTCAAGTATAGCTACCGTCACATCAGTTGTTGCTCAATTACATAAAGACCTCGCCCGCACATGCCATTTTCCCATCCTAGAACGCACATGGGGGGGGGGGGGGTTGCCACCCCCGCGCCAATTTGTTCCTGTTGGAGATAGAGCTTCGCGGTAAAGACCAAAAAGATTCTTTGGGAAGAAACGAATCCAATGATACCCAGTTTTACCTTCTTAGGTCAGTCATTGACCTTCCAGGTCAGGTCAAACTAAAAAATGTTGCTGTTTTGGGTCACCGTTGGATATCAAGTGCGCTGCTTAGCATATACCGACGACGATGCCGTTTTCTGGTGCCAAGCCAGCTAGAACCTCTTTGTAACACTACCCGACCAGATTTTTGCGGCTGAGGTCATTTCAGGTCAAGTTAGGTCAAGATCAATTATATGTGTTTGTATGTCTGTGTGTGTCTGTGTGTATACTGATGTGAGCACCGATTGTTTATGTGTCCATTATTACATGAAATCATGATCTGAGAAGCTTTTACCAAAAATGCAGTCAAAAAATTTCACGAAAAGTAAATTACGCTTGCCTAAAACGCAATTATTTCAGATGACCTAGGTTGACCTTGACCCTGACCTTGACATCTGTACATCGTCGAACAACATGTTCCATGATAGGTGGGAGGTAAGACTGGCAAAAAAGGCCGAAATCAAGGTGTCAAAAGCTCACAAGGCCCATAGCCAACGCAAGATGTTGAGAATTGGTCATTTGGGTCATGACATGACCTGAAAAATAAGGTTATATCTCCGAAACCAAAAACCACAGAAACTTGAAAGTTTTAGTGGACATCAAGAAAGGATAGAGGAGCAGCTATACCAAAAATAAGACTTCTAGCTCTAAAAATGTTGAGTGCAGAGCAGAAAGACTACCGGGGGGGGCAACCACCCCCCCCCCCATGTGCGGGCGAGGGTTAAAACTCAAATAACAATTCATATTGCTGTTAAAGGACATTAAATGCATTATTATTGGCAGGACCTACTCGCAGTGCACAATTAACCATTCCTTTACCCTTTGTTGAAAATTTAGAGATTTTCAGCTTGACAGCAATTGATCCCGTGTTGATCAATAAGCACACAAGATCGCCATGCGTTCAGCCCTGTTGATTGCTAAGGCGGACACGGTGCCATGTGAGCAGGCTATCAGCCGTCTCATTCAGCTGCTCCCGGTGACCTAGTGTCCATCAGCGTCTCATCCGTCTCCATACACCGCCTCCAGAACGACCCTGGCCGTCGGCAGCAGTCGCCGCCGCCGGCTGCAGCGTCGCCCCAGACGGCGGCTATTCGTCAGCGCCGTCGTCCCTGCGTCGGCTCGGCCTCTCACCCCGACCGCCACCGCGCGCGGGGGAAGGTGGGTAAGCCGGCGCCCAGATTGCATAGGAGCGGCGCAGACAGCGTAGCGGGTAATAGTGTCAGATTGAGTGGAAGCGGCGCTGTGTTGGGATGAAGGAGGCAAAGTGCCGCGGCGCTTTCCTTTTTAGGCTCAGATGTGTGAGGTGAATGGTAATCACCGACAATGGGAACATTCAGACGTGCACGGAGAAACGGCATGTCAACTGACAGGTGCTGCGTGTTTCTGAAAAGAATGCTTTAACATGTTCCACTATTTATAAAATCTGATGGCTTATAGTTGCAATTCAAAATACCTAATAATTAAAATCTAAATGATAATTTAGATTTTGATTATCATTTTGGTTTGCAACTATTGGCCATCAGATTTTATAAATATGTCTAACAATACTGAACAATGTTCTGGGAGTCTCGAGTCTCGACTTGTATCCTGCTAGGTTGCACTAGGCTTATTTTGATAACAACTGCACCGCAGCTCCCGGCCCCCGGGGCAGGACGAGAAGTGAGAAGTCTGGAAGAATCGTGGTAGGTATTTGCTGGGACACAAAGTTGCAATGTTTTGTACTGAGATCTTAGTTAGCTGAATTAGCTCAAAACTAGCCCAATGAACAGGAAATCTAATTAGAAGAGGTGTCGTCATTCGGTTCCAACTTCCATTGTTGTAGGTATCTGGGTACTATGGACGTCAAACCCCTTGAGACCCCAAGATTACTTTACTAATATTGAGAACCCACTTTTTGCGATAATTTTTAAATACGTTAACTCTCGTTGACGATATTCTGGCAATGTGTGTTTCAGAACCTGCCGAAACTTTTATTACAAAGTTATTTTGACGCCAAACGATTATGAAAGGTACTTCTCATTCACTCGTAATGTTAAATTTCACGGAACGAATTTGCGGTTTGGGTAGAGGCTACGCGCTCATGGGGCGGAGCCACGTAATGACGTCAGCGCTAAGCTCCGCCCTACCCTCCGGCGCTCCTTGCGTCCGGTCACTCGCGTCTCGCGCTCCATCCAGGCTTGCTGGTGGGCGGTGGCTGGTAGCGGTAGCGGGCGCTGGTAGATGACATTAAGAGCAGATGGCGCTGGTGGCGGGGCTCGAGTATGGCCGAACGGACAAGCCTCTGCCCGGGCCTGAATTGACCTTAGCATTATGAGTGAATGAGAAGTACCTTTCATAATCGTTTGGCGTCAAGATACCTTTGTAATAAAAGTTTCGGCAGGTTCTGAAACACACATTGCCAGAAAATCGTTAACTAGAGTTCACGCATTTAAAAATTATCGCAAAAAGTGTGGTCTTAAGGGGTTTGACGTCCATAGTACCTAGGACCTGCACCATTTTGAATTAGTTCCGAAATTTTCAAAGTGCCTATTTTTGCATCTAGATGTATTAAAAATAGTGAAAAATTGCATTCAACAATTAATTAGATGAATGGAATATGTATAAACATAGACCTCGTATGCACTATGCACATAGGTGGGCACCGTTCCCCAAAATTGTAACTTCGTTACTCGTTCCTCCGTTCCCTCAAAACGTGACTTTCGTTACTCGTTCCTCCGTTCCTCTGTATATAATGTAACGGAAGTTCTTTTAGTCCGTTACTCCGTTACAGCAAAATAAAAAACGTTAAAATGTTGGGTATTTCAAACATTTTTGAGACCATTCTGACACAAACTAAACCTACCGAGAAAGCGGAATGCCCACCAAATCTACCAAGACAGTGGGCACTGATTGGACACTAAACCTTGGAACGTCTGGTGGTACTGATGCGCATTACTTGTCCCTGGCCAGATGCCGGTTGCACTTCACGAACACTAGACGTTCCAGGTTGGCATCTGAGAGCATAGGCGGCGGAACGGGGGGGGGGCACCGGCGCACCGTGCCCCCTTTGATTTTGGCATTTTAACATTAGCCCTATGTGCGTTGCATGGAAAGAATGGGACAAAAAGTCGGCAGTGCCCCCCCCCCCTCTCCCTTAATTGAAGATGTTCCGCTGCCACTTTCTGAGAGGGTAGCCCTTTTTGCACGTAGCACATCTTTTCCCATTGAGAACATGCGCTCTACTGAGGCGCTTGAAGGGACGCCCGTGTTGAACTTTGCGAACACATACTGCAACGCCGGCTCATTGCGGAAGGCCAGTACACTGTACACTGAGGCCATCTTCCGTCTTCAAGTCAGGGCTGCTCAATAATCCACTATTCCGCTGCTGCATTAATGTCTGTGGGTTAGCTGAAAGATCAACCCGCTCGGACAACGAAAAGTAACGGAGGAACGAAGGAACGGACTAAACTGTTAACTTGTAACGGAGGAACGAACAACCAATGTAACGGAAGTTACTTGGTCCGTTACCCTTTTTAAAATGTAACGAGTCCGTTCCTCCGTTCCTAAAAATTGTAACGGCGTTCCGGAACGGAGGAACGGAGGAACGGATCGTGCCCACCTATGACTATGCATAAGGACGTGGAAAAACAGCTCGAAGAGTTTTCCCTCTAAATATGGAAGCAATGATTGAAATTTGATATTCTACAGATTGCGAGTTTCACAGCTCATTTCTGGCAACCTTGAATGTGCCGACCGCGCTCATTATTCAGAAAAAAAATATTGATAGTACCTAGTTGTCTTTCGTTTTTATTATTCTTTTCTGGTTTTTGCTGTATTGAAGAAGCTGCTTTGAAATCGGCTCCTTCACTTTGATATAGAAATCCAGCATCAGAGTGGCGTGAGTTTGATAGTTGCTTTGTTGAAGGCTACGGTTTATATAGCCTTGGGCTACGGTCTGCCATGTTTTCGGTTTTGCATGAATAGGTATTGTTTTTGTTTTTTTTTTTGTTCATTGGATGGATTTTGTTACATTTAAGCTGTGTATTTTGTCATTGCTCAGCTATAAATACATATTTTGCACAGTACATACAGTGCTTTATTGCATTTATTGTCACATGCTCCCAGTTTGAATTCATTTTAATGCCTATTCCAATTCAGTATTCAATTCAAATTGAGACAGGCCACTACCTTGTTTTTGTTTAGTTTTTAGCAGTTAGTTGAAGATGCACCTTATTGCCCGTCTTCGAACCTGAAGAACCACTGTCACTGTAAACAAATATTGAAACTGTAAGCCATGACAATAAGGGTAATAAGAACCCTTTTAAATCACTAGTCAGATATTTCAGCCTGTCTGATCTCTTAAAGTACACTGATAGATACATCACAAGCTGAGCTATAGGAATGAACAGAAAGTCAAAAAGAAAAATCAACAGCAAGGTGATATTTTCACCTGGCTAGTGCTAAAAGTATCTAGGTATCACGTGAGCTTTTCATTGAAGCTCTTAAAATGATAACACAGGCTAAAATATCTGACTATATATTTCAAGTTTTATCAATCCCTAAAATTATCATGAAGACTGTAGATTGTAGAAGGTTGAATATATTGCTGACTATATCATTATAAAGTAAGATGACTTTTTGGGTGTAGCCCATTATCAAGCTTGACATTTAGACTTTTGAAGCTTCAAAATGACTAGGAACTATTAAACCACATGTTCCTTCTTCCTGAGCTATTGAAACACATGAAATGATATATCTCGCTATCACAAGTAACCTGCATTGATCCATCAGTCAAAGGAACAGAATACACATTGATGATTGATGCAAAAAGTAAAAACATGCAACATTAGATCAAGAGTATTCACTAATTCCTGCATTATTTTATTCTCCAGTGAAATGGCCCACTCTAAGTTGACTGTACCCGTTTCCAGCGCTGCTGAGCTGCTGATATGGAGGCTGGCGGTGGAACCAGGCCTGCTGGCATGTCGTCCCCGCCGCGCTGGACCGGCCTGCACGCCGAGTACTCGCCTCCGAGGACGGCCTCGGAGCCCGGCCAGCGCTCCGAGACGCGCCGCCCGCACCTGGTCAACTACGGCGCCTCCCGGCTCAGCACGCCCGTCAGCTTCATCCCGCTGCCTGAGCACGGTACGGACCCGACGGGTGGAGTGATCGATCGCAGACAAACTAAAAAACCTGCCATTGACAGCGCTGGGAAGACCGTGTATGTATATCATTTTCGGTTTTGATTGCGTGCAATGTTTTTACGGAGCGAGCGAAGCGAGCGGAGTCTTTCCTTAGATTAACGGAAATTTCTGAGTATGAGCGGCCGGCCGGCCGGCCGTGCGGACGCTTTTGCGAGGCTTATATCTCAGCAACCACTTGACCGATTTACATGGGGTAATTTTTGTAGGGTAGCTTCATTCCTTCTACCAAGTATTGGACTATTCCCGATGCATGTGGGTGACCCCTTATGCACGTGCCACGTGCAAAACGAAGAGGTGTCAGTTTTGCAATTGTTGCAATATCTCGGTAACTACTTGGCCGATTGCGCTCAAAGTTGGCATGTAGGTAGACACCCACTAGGCACTGCATATCCATGTGCCAGAGTTGGGGTGCTGCTGCACGTGCGCACGTGCAGGGGTCGTTTCCAGACCTCGAGAACGGCTGGACCGATGGCGCTCAAATTTGGTACACGGTTAGGGACCAGTTAGTAGGGTGCCGTGCACAAGTCAGTTGGGACCCATTTTGCACGTGCGCACGTGCAGGGTGCCGCTCCCAGATCTCGAGAGCGGCTGGGCCGATTGTGCTCAAATTTGGCACATCGCTAGAAACCGGTCAGTAGGGGGCCGTGCACAAGTCAGTTGGAGGTATCCCCTCGAAATTTCGCACGTGCAAGACTCACCCCCTCGCTCGCTCCGTTAGTCGCCCCAAAAGGCGCTATACTGGTGATTAGTTCCTTGCTCGCGTATGTATTGGGGAGCATCCACATGGCGGGCTTAACTCCTCGTAATGCTGTATTTGTAGATCAAAGCTGAAATGGTTGTCACATTCGTCGGATACAGTTATCGTCGCATTCATCCTTTTCCAGTGTTTTCGGTCGCTCGCATTCCACCCCGGTAGGTGGCGCCCTCTGTGTCGCCTCATAGGGCGATTCCGTGGGACAGCTGATCTGGCGCCGACCCTCACGTGCCCTCTTCTATGTAGTATGGCAAGCTCATGGTTATGTGCACTAGCCTGTTGTGTACCTATGTGAATTGTGAGCCCTTTCGCCGTGCTGATACTGGCCGTTTACGCCGGCTCCCGCCGCCAGGTCGGCTGGTGATCGGTGTGCCCGACCGCACCCAGCCGCCCGACATCAGCATCCAGGGCTCGGGCGTGGAGCGCTCGCACGCCGTGCTGGAGACGGGTGGCCCCGGCGGCGGTGTGCTGCTGCGACCTCAGGCCGGGGTCACCACGGTGGACGGTATCCGGTGTGCGGCGCCCGTCCAACTCACCAGCGGTGAGTACCGAAGGGAATCGGGCAGGAGAGCGCTAACGACGCTTTGATACAGTCAGAGGAGGGCTCACGATGCCGTGGTGTAGGCGTATTAGCGACGCCAATATTTTGATATGAATGAGAGAGGGATGACGAGTGACGACGCAGTGATACAGACGGGATAAGTCTGACGACAGCGTATTAATGCGGGCTGGAGAGCACTAACGTTTCATGATACAGGCTGGAGAGCACTAACGTTACATGATACAGGCGGGAGAGCACTAACGTTACATGATACAGGTGGGAGAGCACTAACAGCACTTGGGAGGTAGGTGGTCGATCGTTCGAGTGAAGGGGAGGAATATTAAAAGGTTGGGATGTCGATCCCCGGTGGTTGAGTACGCGGACCTGTCGACCGAGCACCGGGGCGGGGTAGGCTCTCTGTGACCCGGAGCCGACGAGATGGGGTTACACACTGCACTGTGGGGGGGGGGGGGGTCGGGAGAGAAGAGGTCGGAGGGTTCAATAGGTGCTGAGACGGCTCAATTTATGATCTCTGGAACATTCACCGGATGTGATGAATTAATTTCTGGTAAGCGTGCCACTGCTAATGTAATGAGGTAAATGATGAGTGATGAAACGTGGAGTTTGTTGGACTCGAGGTAGGAACTCTGGTTATAATAACGCCGTTGAACTTATGTTATCATTGCTGTGGAATGGTATGAAGGAAGGTACTGAAATATGTCCATTTCACTGTGTTGTTTGGGATATCCTCATTTAGATAATAGATTGCACTCCGATGGCTGGCGAGGAATAATGCAGCGACAGACGATACAAGCGACAATTTCCCTGCCTACTTATGTCTACTGCATTAACGAATGTATTTTTTTTTTCGACCAGTATCATCCTTTTTCTGCAAGACATTGCGGGAAGCCTTCCCGGGAAGGCTGCAAGTCGCAATGTTATGCTCGCTTATGTCGACACATTCCGCCTTCGGCCTGCCAGTTAGATATGTGAGTTCTATGTAGTTTCGTCTAATGCGTCGCTCTGCCTCTCTGGAACAAATTGGATCTGCGAACGAATGGCGCAGAATGTTTTCCCAGATTTTTGCCCGATCAAGCACCGTCACATTGACGTTATATAAGCGACTACGCGTCCGTTGCAAAGCTCTTAAGTCTAGTCGCGATAATGAATTCTCGTTAAGCATTCACAAAGCTTTTAGCTGGATAGTAAACAAATCGTCGCTCCTACCTGTGCTTACTGAACTAATCGACAGGGCAACACAGTCGACTCACAGTGTTTGCCTTGAAACAATGACTCAGCTCTCTGATCGATCAGTACGAGTCAATGAATATTTAACGACCTCCCGGCGTCCACCGGATGTGGACAGCCCTCGGCGGTGTCAAACACTGGATCAGGGGCAGGCTCGGCGGGCGCTCTGTAGGGGTTTTGCGGTTCGAGTGCCCTGAAACTGGGTCCCCACTCCTCAGTCCGGGCGGGAATTCTGTAAACCTCGTGTTAGCAGTTACATCACTCATGGCTGCCCCTGTGAAGCCTGTAAGCTAACCCAACCTATTTCTGTCACAATTGAGTAATGGCTCGCCTATCCATCTCCTACATATTGGCTAGGGGTTTATATTTGTGTTATTTCATTAATTGCCGATGATAAACTCGCTCTCGGTCTCCGTCGTCAGTCCGTTCAATCACGTTCGTTTCACCTGTTGCCAGATTTAATTGAGAATTGTTAATTAACTTTTGAATATCCGTTGCGAATAGAAGTGCGTCTATCTGCCACGAAGTATGTCACCGCCTCATTCATAAAATTAAAAATGGTGGATTCAATTTTAGTAAAATTTTGTGCTTCAAAAGATTGTCAAGAAAATGACTTAAGTTATTTAACATAAAATTGTACCGAAGTGCGAGTCGACAGGCATCCCGGCTACTGCCTGCGACGTGAGCTGTAATGCCTGTTAACAATGCCCTTACACCTAACAATGTGAATGTATCAGTGACATCGCAGTACGTCGGCGCTGGTTTTTTCCGTCGGAAACGGCGCGGTCCAGCTCCGGACATTCCTAGTGACTGGCTCGAATGTTAAAGGGACCCTCCCACCTTCAAAAAAGTTAATGAATTGGCATGAAAGTGATGTCGCTCGGTTCAGAAAGAGCAAAAACGAATATCTACCAAATTTCATCGAAAAATATTCACCGGTTTTCAAGATATTAGACTTTTACTTTTGTTTACTTTTTGGGATCTCCGCTGTTCCTAGCGACTTTATTTGAAAGTGCGGCATTTGTTGCGCGCAAAGCAGCATATACCACCGCGTGCTACAAAACGTTTTAGTCAAACATTTAACGGACGTTCGAAAGCCTGATGACGTCATCAGATTCCCGTAATGGTTAAGAGATAGGGACCACGCTGGTCCCACCCTGCAAGTAAAGGGAAGAAATTTCTTGAACACCATAAAGCTGCGGGGGTTGCGACCAGGATAAATGGTGGTTTCTGAGCCTGGCCGCAAACTTGGCTATCTCAACTCAAAACTAATGTTAAGGTGGGAGGGTCCCTTTAACGCCACGGGTGGTGTGGGTGTGTGGCCTGTGGGAATGGGAAGTCTGAGAGTCGTACCTGGGTGTGAAGGCATGGAGGGACTGGGATGCAGCCGTACCCGGGTGTGTGGGCGTGGTGAGACTGGGATACAGCCGTGCCTGGGCGTGTGGGCGTAGAGGGACTGAGATTCACCCGCACCCGGGTGTGTGGGCGTGGTGGGACTGGGATCCAGTCGTACCTGGGTGTAAAGGCGAGGTGGAACTGGGATCCAGTGGCAGTTTCAAGGTGTGGATAATTTCGCATTCTCAAAGCTGGGGTAACTCCGGCGGTGCCAAAGTTATCAGTTATGCTTGTCTGAGCTGGCCTCTTTATGTTATTCGTTCTTATGCCGCTGCAGCGTGCGATGCTGCGATGAATTCGAATTTGGATCAGGCTAGGTAAACTGAGAGCTGCAAATGTGTATGTAGTTGCGTTCTCTGCACCCCGAGCACTCACACTGATTTCCCGAGCCCTTTCCCACCACTGGGAAATTTCCAGTAGTGCGGCTACATTTCGATAATTGTGTTCTGCCTGGTGGTAGGTGGCCACACGCCCTGAAGTATCCCGCGTGGGCCGAGCCGAGTCGCGTCGAACAGGCGTCAGGAGCCAGTGGTCAGAGGAGCTCCAGTGACCAGAGGTAGCTATTCTGTGTCCGGTCACTCCACCAGCCTGCCGGGAGCGGTCGCACGGTCGGGGGTCGAGGCCACCAGTTGTTGGATACGCTGCACTGCACGTGCTCCGCGCTTGGATGGTTAGGTGCAGCAATGGTGCATTTCCCTCGCGCCGGCCCTGTATAAACGGTCTCGGTGATTCGGTGTATGCTGCAAATAATTGGTCGCCTGTGTTTTGGGGCATGCCTGTTCGGCTACGATGCAATGAATGTTCGATGTTCGATGCAACATTTGTTTTGCGCAGCTGAATCATGGTTATGGAAATGCAAATGCCCTATCGGTTATTATGCAATTTTTACAGATTTAAATTTTGATTGCTTTGGGCTGGTCGGGTATTTTGTTTTTTGTTTTCAATACTGTTAAATTGTTTGTTGTGAATCATTTTAACGGCACTTCTTACAACGAAGTCGCTATTTTTGATACCTGTGCTCTGCGTGACGACCCAACTTGCGCTGAAAAAGAAAAGATTAGAAGCTGTAAATGGTAGAATCTGTATGGCATTTCGTGCGTTGACTCAAGTGTGCACTGGACACGGAATTACAAACATGTAGAAAAGTTGGATTTGGAAATGCACAGCGGAATGCATGAGTCGATTTTATGACACGTAGTCGTCGTTTGGCGCTGTCATTTTGAATAGTCCGGCACCGGCTACAGTAGATCTCCAAACACTTAGCTTGCCAGTCTTGCGCCACGCTTCCATGCAGTATCTCATGAATATTAACCCGCGCCCCGTAGGGGGGGGGGGCCGAAACGGCCCCCCCCTGTCCTTTTCGGTCGATATCTCCTAAACGGCTGGAGATATCGCCACCAAACTTTCAGGACCCCTCCGGGCATCAATTTTACACATTGTGACCAAAAATTTTTCCAGAGGCTATGATAGGTTGGCCACAAATGACGTCAGAGTGACGTCATGTTCTGTCATTTTCGACCGAAAAAAGACCTTCGCGAGTAGACCTGTCAGGACTACAGCTTTGAAGATACAGAAAAATGATCAAGACATAAAAGGTGTAGAATTGACAGGGCTACAAAACTGCTATCTCGAATTTTTGAAATTTTTTGAGTTTTGACCCCCAAAAATCAAAAAAGCATTTTTTTGGATATATTCGCCAAAAAATCCAAAAAGTTTTTTGAGTTTCGAAAAAACCGGAATATATGTGATAGTGCCTACCGTCTTCTATCTACATACCAAATTTCAGATCGATACCTCGTTTTTTGGCCAAGTTATAGCGAAAAAACTGTTCAAAAATGATGACGTCAAATTTTCAAACTCAATTTTTGGCAATTCTAGAACTCGTAGAGCAAAACGAAGACCACCATTAGACTCCCCGTGACGAGCTGCATCGAATCGATACCCATTATATGCAAAAATATCAACTTTGAAATTTGACCTAATTTGACCTGACCTTGACCTGACCTTCACCAAAACGTGACCTAGGCTGGCCCCAAAGGCTGCCTAACCCACATAATCGCATTTGTCATGTAAAATGGACCATAAAACATGTATCACACGACACATTCATATTGTGACCCCCGGTGACCTGACCTCGCTGTGACCTGACCTGGTATCAGTGACCTCAGATAGCAAAGTATGTGTTTGACGAACAATGTACCATCGATGGTTTTCAATAAATTACCAATTTACTCGCTTTCACAGCACATTTCTTGAATTGCCTGTGAACGGTGAAAATCTGACCTTTGACCTGACCTGTGACGTCATCGGTTTGACCTAGGTCAATGAAATTTGGTCACAAGGTAGTTCCCAGGTGGGGCTATCGAACGCCGTTTGAATTTTGAAAATCGGCCGGTAACTTTCCGAGATCTTAGGGGGGGGGGCCGAAACGGCCCCCCCCCTACGGGTGGTAGGGTCCGCCGGTAGCCCTACGGGGCGCGGGTTAAGTCACGCTTTGAAAATGGTAAGTAGAGCTCGTTCCTATTCGTTATTAACATGCACCGCTTCATGGTGGCTTTCGGGACTGTGAGCCGGCTCGCGACTGGTTTGTGAGCAATGGAACCCGTCGGCCTCAGCTCGATGTGCGGCGCCTTTGATATGTGCTGTATGTCGCCTGCTTTCGTGCGCTCATGTGTATCTGTCTTTTTTCACAGCGAAGCTACGCCTCATGCTGTTTCTCCTGATCCTGCTTCTTGCCTCACCCACCTAGCACCTGGTCTATGAAACACCAAGTCAGTTTTTAACAGCTCTCATTTCATATGGCTCATTCCAGCGTTTATTAAATTTCACACTGACTCACAACATTTGGATGGTATACTTACTACCTTGTAGTCCTTGCTGTCCTCATTTATACTCAGAAATCATCCCGATACCTAACGGCCTCTGTCCTGCTCGCCGCTTTACTGACGTATATCCGTGGCGCGCCACTGTGTCTCGTGAACTCTGTGTCTCGGCATCTCACCCCTTCCGTCCGCTCCGCCGCTAACCGCTGTCGATCTGTGTTGGCCGCCTTGACAGGTTGTATGCTGTGCTTTGGTCGCTCTCACTACTTCAAGTACATGTGTCCCGCCGACTACCGGCCCCCAGAGTCGGCCGACGCCGAAATGACCGGAGACTATCTGGCCATGGGCGGATCACCAGGTGAGTCGATCGGCTGGAGGCTGGTGTCGAGGGGTCACAGGGTCACGACAGAATGCCGGTGACATTGGAGGGGACCGGGTGCATTCCATGGTGACGGACAGGGTCAGAAGGGGGACGCCAGATGGGGAGCTGGGTGGGTGGGATGGGTCGGTTGTGACAGATAATGCGCCTGGGACAGATACAAAATAGGGGGTGTGCAGAGCGGGATCGGTCGGTCGTGCTAGCGATGGCTCTGGTCCTCCTCTGGTAGGTGCTCAAAAGTGTAGGAGGCTCGTTCCGACACCTGAGCCTGAGGGGATCTGCCAGCGGCTGCTCTGGGGTATATGCTGACACGGCCCGCCGGGGCCGGACTCTGCCCCGCCAGTGTGGACGTCCTTCCACCGTCCCACATGACCGAGCGGCCGAACTCCCTGAACTGAACTCCCTGGATCAGTTTTAGCTCGGCTTATTTGATCGGAAAATTGGTGCAGAAACGAAAAACACTGCTGATGTGTTACAATAGCCAGAACAATGAGGGGTATCAGCCAGCAAAAATAAAACAGCATTACTTATCCAACAAAAACAAAGTAGGTCAGACAGCAGGGGCAAAACAGCCGGGGTTTGTGAGCACCAACCGCTGAGGCTGCTGGAACGTCCATTTGCCCTTAATCCGGTGATGGGATTACCCATCAAAACACTGCAGCATTGTATTTCAGACCATATGAAATGTGTCTAGTCACATCCCTCTTTCCGGAGATTTGTTATCGTAAAGCATCACGGATGTCGGTCTGCGTCAGCTTGCTGTCAGTCCGACTAAGACGGGTGCCGTATACAGAGTGCACTCTCCGGCTTCTGTTAGCTGTGACTCCTGCGTGCGAGATATCCAGAGCCTATGCACTGGGCTCACACTCGTCCGAGCTATCAGTGCTTCTCGCGGTGTTTACACGCAGCTTCACGACGTGCTACTGTCGTGTTGAAATCGCTCGTCACCAGAGTCGGTTGTAAGATATTGCCAAGTGCCGGCGATAATATAAACGGAGCGTGTAAACCTGATGGTTAGCGACCCGCTAAATTTACTCTCAGCTCGTAATGTAGATCCAACTGACGCGGCCGGGCTTTGGTTGAGGGCGATATGGTCGGGACTCCCGACCCCTCCCAACTCGGGAGGGATTTACGAGGGTGATGGCCCCGCTGAGACGTCTGTTCAATTACCCAGCCACAGCCCTGCCAAGATTCAACGGCGAACAGTCCATTAGCGCAAAAAGGCAGCCGAGAGGCGTGGGGGACATTTGTTTCTGCCGCGCGCAGGCCCGCTAGCTTGGTCACTGTCGTGTTCTTGTCATGACGTCTGTCTGCGTCTGTCGACAATGAAAATGGCGTCAGTGGACCGGTGTCAGTGGACCGGTGTCAGTGGACCGGTGTCAGTGGACAGGTGTCAGTGGACGAGTTAGTGGACCGGTGTCAGTGGACGAGTTCAGTGTGCTGGTGTCAGTGGACGAGTGTTGTGAACAGGTGTCAGTTAGTGCTTACAGTCTGGGGACCAGTGGGGACAGAACTATGACAGGCCGCCGGTCGTCAGCCTCACCATCGGACTCTCCTCTGAATCAGCCATCTGTCAGTTACCTGTCAGTTCAAGTCAGCCAGTCAGACTACCTGTCAGTCGGCCGTCATCAGCCACCGCGTAGGCTGTCCGTGAACATCCGGCTCTGCAGTCGCATTTTCCCCGGACCCGGTGCTAGAGTGACTTGTGAACCGACAAATACTTGAACCTCCCACCTGCACACGGAGGTGTGCCATCAGCCTCAGACGATAGTCAGCGGGTACAGTCACCCAGTGCCAGTCGCCCAGTGTCTATGCACGCCACTCTTCGCTGTCCTTCGGGCGTTGGCTCGTAAAGCTTCGGTCAGCCGGGGCTGGGTTACGCAACGGGCGGCTCGCGGTGCCGATCTGACCGCCCCGTCGGGGCTGCTCTGTGGACGTGAGTAGACGACCGATCGGGCAGGTAAACCATCGCAAACCATCACACACGGGGGCGTGAGTGGCCGCTGGGAGTCTGGTGAGCGTGCCTGGTCGCTCGGTCGGTCGATTTGGATGCATGGGCGCTCAGGAGCCAGCGTTGAGCCGCTTGGTGTGTTGAAACATCGGGAAGCCTGGGACCATAAGCTCGTTGACAGTTGTTTGACGCAACAAAGTGAAGGGTCTGTCGGTATTGTATTATCTTGTTTCAGATCAGTTCCCTAATTGATGAGAATCTGCTTCTGGAAGGAATCGCCGCACTACCGTTCACCTTGGCCCGTGCTCGTTGTCGCCACCAGTGTCCACTGCTACCGGTTTTTGAGGTCTGTGGGTCACCCGTGTCGTAATTAGCGGGCGTTTTCACCCCGTCAGACGGCTACTCAAGGCCGCGCACAACTCGCGCCGTGGGATGGCCGCCTCAAGGCCGCCGCGGCGGTGTCATCGTTAGGAAACTGACCGACCGCACGGCGTCAGTTGTGCGTGTCCTGTGCTGGGCTGTTACACGGCAGTTCTCCGCCTGACTGGGTTCATTCAGTCTTACAACAGACGCGCTATTCCCGCTCGTAGCACTGCCGTATGGTGGAATGTAGGTGCCACTGTGCGTTTGTCAGATTAGGCCAAGTTTGCGCTCTGTTTCGCAAGTTTTTTTTTTCAACGGGCCTGCATGATCTGACCACCGTCGACCAAAGGCACAGGGCAGATCCTAAGTTAGTAGATATATCCTGCTGATCTCAATGGTTATGCTGTGGGCGTTGGAGATCCCTGCAAGCCAGTGGATGTGCGAGAGCGTCATCCCAGCTCATCCACCCCCTCTCCCTGTAATATCCCCTGATGTCAGTGGAGCAGCTGATTGAGCTCGTTTGGACTGAGAAGCTCGGCTTGACGGGCGGTTCGCGCGGCGCGATGAGAGCCAATTCGGCGGCCTCCAACACGCGGGGTCGGGCCTCACGCGCTGAATCGAGACCCTACGCACAGGGTAGCTGTTGAGGAGGGAGGTCAAAGTGCTGGAGGAGCCTAAGGGAGAAGTGGACGGCACTGTCCCGAGGACGTGGAGTCTTTGAGGAATTCAGAGCTGGATGGTCTGTTAACTGAAGTGACCATTTTCCTGGCGTGCCACCGTTTCATGCGGTGCGGTATACACGAAGGTCGATGAATAGCCCCGTGGTCTTGGGACCTTGGATGTAAGGACGACGGTTAGCGGCGTGCATCGCTAGGAATTCGTGCGTGCTGAAAGCATACCCATACTACTGATTCCCATGTTCGTGATTTGCCATGGCATTGAAGAGTCTGGTATGTTGGTGTTCTTTACCGCTGTTTCAGTTAATGTTTTACCTTGTCGAAAATCCTGGCCCGAAGTTTTCCCTATATTTCCCCTGATCAGAAGCTGGGATTTCCTTTTTTACGTCGGAACAATGGGTCTAGCTGCTCCTTCAGCGGATTGTGTGCACGAGCACGCGCTACTGGTATGGTCGTGCTTAGTTTGCTGATCGGCTCCTGGTATCGGTGAAGTGGTGCTTTGTTACTCAAAAATATTTTTAATATGAAGCGTTGTGGATGGCTAGTGTTCATAGCTACTGCATTGGTCATGTCCTACCATAATCTCGGGGTACGCACTTATCGAAAAACGCTACAATACTGCGTGTGTGTATCACGCATTCCGCATCTATCTCGTAATGAAGCGTCATAAATAATGTTCATGTCTATTTCGATCAGTATTTGGCCTCAAATAGTCCCGAACGTGATACCGACAGGCGCAGCACGGCGCACACTGCACAGCTGTAGTGTCCGCCCTGAGATACAGTGCCCGTTCAAAGATGCTGGGTCACCCTATTGCTCAGGTCCCACCCTCCGCTGTACGGGGTCACTCCATGTGTCCGCCCACTCTCCAGGGTACCGTCTCTGCACGGCTGCAGCGGCAGCGACTCAGTGCTGCACGCCGCTGACCGTGCTGAGATCAGCGGCACGTGCCGGCCGTCAGCGCCGCCCGGCCGCGCGCTGATGGACGCTGACGGGGCGCGCCGGGACGCCGGACAGAGCCCTGCTGATCGGGCGTCGCCGGACGGGTCCGTCGGCCCGGCGCCGCCCCGGTCCGGCCGATCGCCGCCCTGATTCAGCGGCTGTGCGGCGCGGCCGGCAGCTGACGGGGCGCTCCTGGACGGCGGGGCGGCGCCGAGCCCCGTCCGTCCGCCCGGCTGGCCCGCCCGCCCGCTCCCCAACCAGCCAGTCGGCCGGCGACGCGCGCAGTGTGGAGCCGCTGCTCGGTGAAGGTGGTGCATCGCGCGGGCGACGGGCGCTGTGGATCAGTGTTTTTGTCCGTGAGACGGGCAGTGACAGTCAGTGGACTTTCCGACGAGTCGGACGACAGATTCACGCAAGAGGCACCGCGACAGTGGACTGTAGATTCCTAGAAAAAAAAGACGGACGAGCGAAGCAGTAGTTAGTACCGAGCTACGAGCATCGACAGTGTGTCTGTACTCACGGAGTAGCAGCATTCAACGCAACCGGTCGGCGGACCGCCGAGCTACCCATTCCGCTCGGCCGCCTGTGACCGCGCTCCGGACATAGCTCGGTCGGGCGGACCTCCACCGCTGCCGACGCCGGCGGTGTTGGGTTTACACGGGCGTGCGACGTGTAAACGGACCGAGCCGCACACCGGGAGCAGAGGGCAGGATGGCCTGTGTCAGCCAGCGCGCCGGTGAGAGGGTCCGCGGAGACGCCGCGACGACTGGGATACCGGGAAAGTGGAGGGTGTAGAGAAACGAGGTGGACAGATGCGATTGTAGTGAAGGATGTAGTGTTATTGGTATCGTTCGATAGCACAGTAAACCATGGTCGCCAACGCAGGTTTTTAAATGTCCGCGTTGCCCAGTAGGTCGCTCTGCTTCGCTCTCCCTAAGCACCCAAACAGCTAACCAAATCAGTCCATTTTTAGGAAAAGTCACGGGGACTGGGTTATTACTGGAGAGCAGCGACCCCTCCCCTCGCTCCCGCCCCCTCCTGGGCCTGTCTCGGCGCAGTCTCTGTGTTGATATTTGCCGGCTGTCAGCCGCGGCGCCCCTCCCCCGGAGCCTCTGATGGGTACCGCTGAGTGGAGCGTGGGCGGAGTGGCCTGTTGGCGGATCTCGTGTCGTCCGCTGACGGATGACGCTGCCTGGCCGGCCCGGTACGGCCCACCGGCACGTGTCCGTACTGCCAAACATGTGACTGTGGTTGGCAGGCTGGCCGTGGAGTTCGGCACGTGAGCCGGTTGCGTCAGGCCAGACGGGTTGAGGAGGCGCGCCGGGCACCGGGCCGCGCCTGTTCGGTGTCGCAGCGACTGCCGCACTGTGCTCGACACATGTCCGCCGGCTCATTGGACCGACGGAGGTTGTCCCGACCGGTGCTCGACCGGTGCTCAACCGGTGCTCGACCAGCTGTGCCGCGGCATTGTCTGACGTGGCACGTGGCACCCGTGCCAAGAAGCACGTGGCCCGTGCTGGTCGCGGTCGGTCGCTTCCGGCAGGTGTTTCTTTTTTGGAGCGCTCGGCGCTTTACGGCGCCCTTTCAATCGAGCGGCTGGCTATATAGGCCGAGATGGGGTGCTGGCAGCTGCCGCGGCGCCGGCACTGATTGAATCCGTCCCTGGGGAAGAGGAGGAATTCCACCGCGCCGCCGAGCGGCCGCCTGTTATCCGACGGTTCCGCTCATTTATCCGGCGCCCGCAGCTGCGGACGGCCGCGTTGCTGCCAAATTCTCCCCGCCCGGGTAAGGCTGGTCCCGGAAGCGCGCTCCATTCGCCCTCAGTTCGCTCCGGTATGCGATTTTCTCTGTTGGCGTGTCGAGTTTTACAGCCCGGGCTGGTTATGGCGCTCGTGGAGACGGGGTGCGGAGCGATGAATTGATTTAGTGTCGGTTTTACTGCCAGCTGCGCCCCGGTCAGACTGGGTGGGATACCGATCACCACCGATCACCGCCCGTCTCCCGTCCAAACAGTGCGCTTTTTGGGCGGACCGGTCTTGCTTAATCACAAACTGCATGTGTGCGGCGGCGGGGATTTGAGCTAGTGAAAGCAGGTGATGGTCTCCATACGTGCCTACACATCACATGTCCCGCCGCTGACATCTTTAGAACGTGCCGATAAGTGCCGCGCCATACTCCTGAAAGCACACAAATTCCACAGGCGTCACAAAGTCAGGCTGTATCGTCTTTGAGTGGCTCTAACAGGCATGAGGCCGCGTTTTACGACACAGGCATCCGACTGACAGAATCGCACACCTGTTGAGTACTTGGGTCATCACTTTGCCAACCATCGAGCTTCGAATCTGGATGGCACTCACATGCCCAAAGATCTCACAGACACACCGAGCCATCTCCATAATGCAAATATCGAGCGGCGCCGCATTCCCAGCGCGTATTCTCTCGCGTGGGTCCCGCGCGGCGTGTCGCAACTGCGTCTGTGTGTGCGTGGTCGGTTCTGCTCCGGGACGCCGGTCATGTCCCGCCGTCAGCTCTCTGTCCTGTCCGGCGCCGTCCGTGGGGACGTGCAGGTGCGCTGTGACATTCAGACGGTGCACACGTCCTTCGATGGCGGACGCGCCGTGTTGTGAGCGGTCCGGCTGGCGTCCAGACGTGATTTATTGACCGATTGTGAGTGGTGACTCACCGGTCTGCATGGTGCAGTCCTGTCCGTCAGCGGCCGCTGACGCGTCCCCGTTCAGCCGGCACCGGTACTCACTCTGTCCGTACACCATATAAGGTGTTCCGACAGTACCGACAGGATCAATGTTCAATCATTTTCGTCTCACCATGCCACTGGACATAGTATTTTGCTTTGTGGGCAGTTGTCTGTGTAATGTGGGTTAGCGCTTGCCACTTCACTAGTGGCCCTAATGCCTTGGTGCGCGGTTGTTCGCCGTCAGCAGTCTTATTCCCCTTGTTACTGACATTCTTCCGTCTTTGTCCGCCTCTCGTTCTCATTGTGTTGATGTTTGTGTTTGAGCTCCGCCCCGGTAACCCCGCTGTCTTATTGACGCGTCCCTTCTGCTCCTCCGGCAGCGCTGGACAACCCCGAGTACTACCACATGGGCGAGTCTGGCGGCGGTGGCGGCCCCCCGGTGTCTCCTCGTCTCCAGCTGCCGCCGCCCAAACCACCCCGCCAGCCGGCCTCCGAGGGCCCCTTCACTGGCGAGTACCTCTACACTCGGCTGGAGCGTCCTGCGGGGCCGGCGCCGGCAGCACGCACCCTGCCGCCGCCCCGCGCCGCGCCGCCCCCGTCACCGTACGACAACGTGCCGCCGACGGCCGCGGCGGCCCGGGCGGCGGCGGCGGCGGCGGCGGCGGCGCAGGGCGGTGACCGGGAGCAGCCGTCCGTCTGCAGCACGGTACGTGTGACACGACCTGCAGGCGCCGTTCCGTTGTCCCGGGACAGTGTTGTTACCCGTCGCTTGCAGCCGCTCTGTGTTCTATCCCTGCTCTGTCCTGACTTCTGAGTGCGCTGGACCGACCACTCTGCGTATTGGTCTCCGTGTTGCATGTCCTGTGTGTCTGTCGGCTCCTCCGTTTGTCACTTGCCACACCGTTCGTTTGCCACACGTCAATGTGTCTGTTCATCTGTCGATTCGTCCGTCGAGCGGGTTACAAATCTGACGAGCGTGTGTTTAGCTATCTGCATGTGGTCTTCTTTATTGGTTGCCGATCTTTCCGCTCGTTATTTTTCTTTCGCCTGCTACCACTACCATTGGCAATCTTTTATATATTCTGTCATCTTCGAACGGGACTGGTTCTCAGTCTCCGGGGTACTCAAAGCGTATCTCTCCCGCTGCGCCTCGCTGGTCTGCTCCGAATTTCTTCAATCCTTGTTGGCCCGCGATTTAGCCCACAGAGTTCGGCTATTTCCGTCGCGCTGTGTACCACTCGTTGATAGCGCGCACTTGAGAGGTCATTCATCCGTCACAAGGAGCATTTGTAGTGAATGAACGACGCAGATTGTGTTGAGCTACTTGGAACTGGGCGAAGTCAACAATTACTCGGAACCGACACAGGAGATAGTTCTTAGAGCGCTATCTGTCGTGAATACGGCCCATCTCGAGCTAATCTCGGCTAATTTCTGATGGCTTCTCACTGAGGTGGGTCGGCCTAGATGGACCATTCGCCGGCATCTGTTTCGTCCTCACCGACCTCACCCCAGGGAAAACCTCTGTTGGCGCCTCGGCGTAGCCTCCATGTGACCACTGACTATCTGCCTGATTGCACGACAAACTATGCCGGGACTGTGGGCGCGCCGGCGGCGGTGGCCGACAGTTGGCGGTGTTGACGGTGCTATCGCTATCAGCCCGCGGACAAATTAGGTCTGGCGGGTGGTGGAGATATCACCACGTGTACGGACGGTACGGTGTTTGCCAGTGTGCCGCTGCGTGAGGTGTGTCCCTGAATGAGGGAGGGAATCTGCGCTGAGAGTACCTATGGGCGGATCGGGGAGTACTGTTTAGAGGATCGGCTGAAGTTATTGGGCTATTTACATATGAGAACAGAAAAAGCGTGCTTCGGCGCCGGCGCCTGCAACGCCTCTTTGGTGTCTGGGGCCAGAGTTTGTCTCAATTCAGGATCGGAGATGTTTGAATTTACACTAACATCGCCGGATTCGAAACCTTCTGTGACATTACCTAGTGACTATCTCAATTCAATCGAGAACACTACAAGAAGAGGTCAGCACGGAAACGCAAGGTGTGATCGCTGTTTCGGGTTCTATTGTATAAGCGATGAGAGGAATTCGGTTTCTCAGCACGGCCGCATGTTCAGGCTGCTCGGCGCTGCTGCTGCTGTTGATTTCAGTGACCGCTGGCGATGGTCATCGCAATTTTTCATTGGAAACTGGCCTGTGCTGCTGCTGATTTGTCCGTTGAAACTAATCCGTAAGGGGCTGGCAAACGTGGGTGAACTATACTGTCTCTCTGGATGAGACTCGATTCACATTTTTCCTCACCTGCTCTACCGCTCTGCCAGCGATCCCTGCTGAACCCACCGACCTCTGTGGACTCCTGTCACACCACTGTCACATCCAGTGTCACATTACTGTCACACCCTTTGCCCAACTCCATTTCTCACCTCCGTCACCTACCAGCTGTTCGCCCACCTCCCCCCCCCCACCCATCTTCCCCTCCTCCTCCCCGGCCCCGCCCCCCAGAAGGCAGACCGTTGGCGCCTCGGTACCACTATAGCCGTATGACCGATAGTCTCGGCCAAAGGTCGTCCCGGTACGTCAACACCTGCCGCCATCGGCGCTATCTCGTCCTCCGAGCGGCCGGGCACGGTGTGAGACGACGCTCGACGGTCTCGGGGCCACGACGGTGACCAGAGCAGCTCCCACGTGCGTGCTGTGAAGGTGTGGGACCGTACGGTCACAGAGTGCTTACGCGTGGGGCGGTGCGAGACGGTGACAGCTTGAGAAGTGCTGTTGCGACTCTGTGCAGAGCGATCAGTGCAGTGTAGCGCCGTCCCGCGCAGTGCAGTGTGCTGGACCAGGTGCAGTGCCGCGCAGTTTGGTGTAGGGTGTCGTGCAGGCGCGGATACAAGGGGGGGGGGCATGGGGGCCATGGCCCCCCCCCTTAGCCAATTTTTTTCAAAAATTAAATAAAAAGTTAAAAAGTTAAAAAGCTGAAAAGGGGCCTCCTGAAAATAAAGTGGCCGAAATCCGATGAGTTTTTTTTTAACCTACCCACTTAGTTATTTCTTAGAAGACTAGCTGAGAAGACTTCTTTGTTAGAAGATTGGTAAAGCTTTTCATAACTTGGAGGTCTCTTATACTCACAGAGATGACCACTTTTACAGGGCCTCCTAACCTGCACAGAGGGCCTCCAAGCCTGCACAGATGTTGAGATGTTGCCTGAACAGCTAGATAAGCTCAATAGACGCAGTTTTTTTGGGGGGGGGGCCCAACAAGTGGGAAGATGGGGCCTCCAACAGGTGGGATTATGGGGGGGCCTCCTGGTTTCTAATGGCCCCTCCCTTGGAGATTTTCTGGATCCGCCCCTGGTGTCGTGCTTTACTGTGCCGCGCCGGGCCGCGCAGTGCCGTAGGCTGCAGTACAGTGTGTCGTGCCGTCCATCTCAGGTAGTGGCGTGTCGCTCCCAGTCACCGTACACCGGACGACGTCGCTCCGTCTGTCCGTCTCTGTCTATGTGTGGGTGCATGTTTGTGCCGTCTAGCCATCTCGGCTCGGCGGCGTCAGGCGGACTCCTCAGTGGGTGAGTTGTGGGTCTGTCCGCAGACGAGGCCGTCCCTCCTCCCGAGCTGACTGACTGCACCCCTGGGACCGTGATGCGTTTCGCTGCAAACCCGGACCCCCGCGGTCTTGACAAGGATGGACATTAGACAGATGCATCGTTCCATAATGTAACGACGCGCTGCGTTGAATTGCCATCCAGGGACTTAAGATTGATTCAGAGCTGCTCTGCAGCGACGCCGTCAGGTCGGCTAGCTGGAATGCCGACCGGAACAGAAGGTGGGAGGCGCTGCGGCCGTCGAGCGCCGTTTGCGGTGGTGCGTTACGCTCGGGAAGATGTGCCGACACGTCTGTGGAACAGTGACGGAATGTGTTTACTGACATGCCGCCGACCTGACCGCCGGCCGTGGTTATTTTCATAGCGGGCGGCGGAGGCGTCCCATGATGCGCTCAGCACATGTGACGCGGTGACTGCAGACGCCCTGGTACGGTCCTGCGCTCTGACCCAGACACCCGATCAGCGGGGTGGGCGCGCCAGTCACGGCGACTGGCGCGATGGTGGCAGAAACAGTCTGCTGAGAGACATCTCCCTTCGATCTTCCTTTCTCACTCTCTTGGGCAGCTGTTTATCGCAATGGAAATATGTCAGCGTGCTGCGGGCAGCTGTTTATTGCAATGGAAATATGTCAGCATGCTGCCAATTGGCTCTCCACTCCAGCGTTATTTCACGTTTGACGTCACAGGTCATCCACGACTGCGTCGGCTGGCCTGTTCGTCTCCACGCGCCAGCACTGTGACCAGATGGCCGCTCGTTAACATTCCCGGCCATCGCGAAAGCCTGTTCCATGTAATACATCGGCTTTGCACGCTGCAGGAACGGCCGGCTCTGCCTGTGCGTGAGCACGCACCCGGGCCAGTGACCTCTCTCCCCTCTTCCACGCGCCCTCTCCTCTGCTCCGCTCCGTTCCGGGCCGATCACTGAATCCGATATGCCTGGATTGCGCCCGCCCGCTCCCCGGCAGAGCTGCAGTCGAGGTCAGCCCACTGCCGTCCGCCCGGCCCGCCCTGCTCTGCCAGGCTCCCCGGACCGGTGGCTTACAGTCTGTCGATGGTGATATCTCGGGTGGACCGTGCGCACGGCCTGCACAGTGACCGTGCTCGTGCAAATAATCTAACGGCGATGATTGGTGGCTGCAATTACGTCCTCGCTGGCGCTCTAGCGCTGACGACCGAGCGATAGATTTGGATGGCCATGGCCGTCTGATGATGGTGGGCAGACGTCCCGCTTGCCACTGCATTGATCTACATCTCTTGGCTCGGGCGGTGAGGCCTTGGTACCGCGCCTCCGTCTCGGTATGGGTCTCAGAAACAGACGATCTGCTGATGAAATGGATATTGGATAGTGCTGCTGCGTCTCGTTCTCTTGGTCGGTTAACCGGTGGTATGATCTCGCGATATGCTGATACTGCACGGTTATGCGGTACTGATCATCAGATGATGGCTATGCTGGTACTCGAATGTCATAAGTTTATCGACCACTGGTTTAGATATCTGCTAGTGATTTCTCAGTTACAGTCTTCATATGTCGCAAAATGAGCCGACTAGAGTATATCAGCTGACTGGAGTTTATCGGCTGACTGTTTATGTTAATCTTGTTACGTAATGACAAAGATCAGTGATCATGGTAATTGTAAAAGAACGTGATTTTGCGCATTTTCGCACGTTGTACTTGTGTCCAACTCAAACACTTCACTGAATCCCAAAGTTCCCGTCAGGAATTGAAGGTTGGTGCTCTCTAGGTCACCACTAGCACCAGTGCATAGTGTGCGTATGTTGACCTCAGTGTATATTGAGACTGTTGACCCGTCCGCTGTCCCCCACTCTCCCTAACCTCCGCCTCCCTCTTCTCTCACTCCCAGGTGTCTCAGGACCACCCGGACTCGGCCGACGCCCTGCAGCAGCTGGAGCAGTCGCGTCTGGACGAGATCCTACACATGTGCGCCGAGTACGACAGTCAGATGGCCGGCGGGCCGCTCTCCGGCCCCGCCGCCCGGCCGCCCGACTCGCCGGCAGTAGCGCATAGAAGGTATGCTGGGGGACAAGCGTAGGGTCTGGGGGTGGGGGAGGTGGCCTCTTGGTATGATGATGATGGGGCCCTCCGTGGCTTGGCATTGAGATCGGCGTAGAGCCTCTCTGTCTGACCCTGTCTGCATTCGTGTTCCCGCAGGCTGGGGCCAGTGATGTTCATTCGTTGTTTGTTTGTTCAATTCCATGCGGCTGGGAGGAGGCCACTTTTCGTTGCACGTGGTATCACCCCATGGGGAATAATGCAGGGTGCAGCATGCATTCTGCACAGTGCGATGCAAGCGAAATGGTGTCACTGGCTTGTAAAAACTGTCATATGCTGATGCGAACATGTGCATATGCGGCTGACTCACCCTTTCCATGAAAGCCTACTTTCCATATTACATGAACCGAATGGCCAGTCACTCCCTCAAAACTAAATCCTACATTTGCATGTCATGCATTTGATAATTCGCTTGTGATCATACCTGGTACAGTTTACGCCCATGCCCAACTGGGAATAGCCACAGGGTAGCCTGGAGGTCAGGGGTCATCCCATGTGACGTGGCTCACGTCCGGTCACGTCACGGTCACGGACGTGCGGCGGCACGGCTATCGTGACGTCACGTCCGTGGTCGGGGTGGGTCGCGACTGCGCACTCCTGGCGCTCTCAGTCCATTGCAGTGAACGGGTTAGGTGTAACGTTGTGTATGTGGGGGCCAGTGTGGTGTTGTGCGGTGTTGGTGTGTTGCAGGTTATAGGAGAATGTAAATGGTGACGGCTTGTGGTGTTGATTTCAGTTGGGTGACTTCACTTGGCTGAGCACTGGTGTTGTATGTACATATGCATGTGTAACATAAGCAGCGGGGAATACAGTATCCCGGCTGAACGTGTGCTTAAGCGCTCAGTACCTCAGTGTGTTTCCGTCCCCTCCACTGGCCTGGTGTCGGCTGGACGTGCCCAGGCGTTTGCAGTAGCGCAGTACAGCAGTGTGTTCCGTCCCCTCCACTGACTCCACTGTGTTGTCGCCGCCGGCAGGATCAAGACGAACGGCTCTCTGCCGCGGGACCGCCGGCTGGGCTCCCCGGGCGCGGACACTCCGCCGGAGCCGCGGCGCCGCTCCGCCTCCGAGGACGAGCTGAGCCCGGCGGCAGCCGCAGCAGCCGACGTCCGCAGTCCCTACGAGAACGTCAGCTTCGTCCACTACCCGCAGAGCCCCCGCACCCGGATCCGCACCACGGTGCAGCGCGAGCGTCTGGACGGCGCCGGCCGCGAGGCGAGCCCACCGGTGTCGACGGCCGGCGCGGTGTACATGGTTCCGCCGCCGCCGGTGCCGCTGCCGACCCCGCCGCCGCGCGCGCCGCTCCACTCCGGTGGCATGGTGAACGGCTCGGACGGCCGCGGCCTGCAGTTTGTCAACGAGGAGTACATGCGGGGACTGCCCCTGGACCCCAGCTTCCAGAACGATGATCTCGTCTTTCTACCGGTGAGTGAAAGAGGGCGTGGTAAGCTTGGAAGGAGGGCCAGCACGGGAGAGAGTCAGCTTGAAGGAATAATTGCCCTCCCGTTTAGAGGAATTCGACCTATTCATTAGTTTGGTTAATTGATAGTTCGGTTCAATTAGGAGTGAGATGGAGAATTGGATAGGCATCTCGTTTGGATTAATAAGAATGCCGACTCCCGTTCAGATCAGTGCGAATCTTCGTTTTGTTTGCGCAATAAATTCACTGTGGCAAACATTGATCTTAGCATTATTCAAGCACTTGTTGAAACTGCAGTCATTACCAGCGAACTTCGTTTGAAACCAAACAGCAGATTATTTGGAAAGGAACTCTTTGATCACTGCAACTGTTCACTTTTATCGTGGCAGCTGTTCTCGTGCGGCTACCGATCCAGTGAAATACCATTTGATACTGATAATCATCGTTTCGCTCGCCTCGCCCTCTCCAATACCGTCAACCCTCCTCACTACTGAATTACTGATCAATTCCCGTGTTCCCCTCCAGCTGTAACAACCCCCCCCCCTCCACAATCGCCCCTCAGAATAACCATCTCGCTCATCTCATCGCCATTGATTTTCATTATTTTCCTCATCCCCTCCAGTAGTCAAAAGATCTCCCCATTTACTTGTTGCAGCAGCTGGAGTAATGCTAAGTAATGCATTACTGGAGTAGGTAATGCTTGGAGTAATGCTTGAGTAATGCTAAGATCAATGCTAATTGTTTGCCCTAGTGGATCTCCCCATTTCTCCACACTAAACCAGAAACCAGCCATCTTATCGTTTGTGTATTCAGAAGTGCCCCAGAAAAAAATATGTCCACCAGAGCAGTGACCAGCTCTTCATTCTCCCCATCACATCAGTGTGAACAGTGAAGGTGTCATACAACACGTCTGACCAATGACTAACCCCCCCCCCCCCCCGCTTCCGTCCAGGCGGTGGGCGGCGGGTACGTGAACACGGGTATGGACGAGGAGACGCGTCGCGCGGCCGCCGAACTGCAGCATCGGCAGCGACTCGGTAACGTCTACCAGCAGCTGCCGTCGCGGCCGCCCGTCGAGTCGCCCCTCCCCGGCCTGCAGACCGACGGCCGCGCGCCCTCAGAGTCGGAGCTGCCCGGGTCGCTGTCGACTCCGGCAGAGGAGGAGGGTGGCTCTGCGCGCGTCAGCTGGAGGGATGACGTCGAGTCGAACTCTGGGGATGAGATGGTCCGTCACAGTCGGTCGTTCAGCGATACCACCGATGATGACCGTGAGGTGAGACCCGAGGGATTGAGGAGTCGGTGAGTGATGCGGAGTGGGCGACATTGAAACTTAGAATCATCACAGGTACGCGCCGCGGGGATTTCTGGAAGAGAGAGGGCGAGTTTCTCTGGGTTGGGTCGCGTCAGGGTTCTCAAACACCTGGGGTTTGAGATGGAAAGTACCCAGGAGTGAGTATAGAGATGGAGGAAGCAACTTTGGGAGACGACTAACCCCTGGAACTACGGCTGACCTCTGGGGAAGCCCACACCCTGTTTGTAAAGTGGCGGCGTCGTAACGAATCATGTGGGGAGTGCCATCATAAGGCACTGGTGCCGTGCGGATGTTATGTTCCATTCTCTTGGAGCCAGCCCGGGACGGTTCACGATTTGAAGGGTTATGATAACCGAGTCTCCGGATGACTAGAGTTTAAAGGGCGCATCTGAACAGTTGTGGACTGGCTTTTAGGCTGGCCTGAAAGGATGTCTGTCGGTCCCTTGTGTGACAGCTACGAGCCGCGCCAGAATGCAGCGGCCTCGTGTCTTGGCGTTGAGCTTCAATCGAGTACCTATGTGTGCCGCGTCTGTCAACATTTGGCGCTAGCTTGTAATGCGATAGGAGTCGTTATTGTCACCTGACCTAACAATGACGTTATGGGAGATAGGATTTAAGGTGTTCCATTTATTGTTGACGATGTACTCAGAACTGATGCCTACAGACGCTCAATTCAATGACGATTGTATCATTGAGACGCAAAAATGGCGTGTGCGATTGCACGGCTCTTTGATATTATCGGCAATGGCATTTCGATCGAGGTCTGTCTGTTTGCCAAGGTCAGATATTGCTGTTGATTTGGTGTAACTGATACGGATGTCTCCCTCGATACTCGAGTGTGTTGTGGGGTAAGGTATGTCAGGAAGTGTTATAGCATAGTCAGTGGTCTATCGAAGCGTTGCACTATCACAATGATCATATTTTCCCGGAAATTCCATCAGACTTGGCTGGGCATATGCATATTTAGATATCACACCCAACCTATATCGAGCGTGTATAAGTAAGAGTAACTAAGAACGACACATTATCAATGTGCCAATCATTTTGTTCAATGTTGCAGGAGCTGTTAATCGCTGTCACTTATACTTAAAACGATTCAGTTCATGTATAACTGCGTGTCGCTTCCTGCGTCCCTTGGCCAAACCTAGCTGGGTGAGCTGTTTTATATGTTTGACCCCTCCTTCCCTCGTCTTTGTCAGATGTGCCGCCGTCTGAAGGACCAGAGGCGTATGACGTACCGGCAGCTGTCCGAACTGCGGCAACAGAAACTCGACCTCGAGCACCAGGAGTCTGAGGCCATCCGACAGGTCAGTCCTGTCCTGTCTATCTGTGAGAGGTGTGACCTGCAAGAGCATTTCTGTCCCGGTCCTTTGGTCTCACCGGGAAGGGTTGCTTCGATCCTAGGCTACCTTTGTCTTATGGGCTATGGCTCTAAAATATGACGCTTTATGTCTGTTGGGAATATTTAATGATGTTTTATGTCTGTTGGGAATATTTGCTACTTCTTTTTCCACTTCATCGTACATCGTACTACATTTATGCTCTATACATATTTATGCCTTATTAGAGGACATTTGGGAAAAGTTACGCTAAGAATACTTTGAAAAAATTGCCTTTGCCTCGTTTTACTTTGCTTTGTTGATACGAAAAATGGCTTCCTTAGCTTTTCCAGTGTATATTCTGTCTGTTGGTCAATTGCTAGCGGATGTTCCTATTGATTTTATTCGGTGCGGTACAAGGCGCGCAATGTCATGAACATTTGCATGAGGGTGAATATCGATATCTAAATATGGTTGTCGGCATTTCACTTGTTTCTGGCGCGCATTCATGAGCAAGTTCCTCGTAGGGGCTCACATTTTTGATGGCCCAAAATGTACATAGCCCTTTCAAAATGCATCCACTCAGTTGAAGCTACTGTTGAAAAATCACCCGGTGTTATATCACTTGTTTTTAACGTCGATGCTCGCCCTGAGTTGCCTCGTGCCAACGCTTTCATATGGAATCATGTTGGCATGCCAGCTATGGAAAGCTGTATTTGCATGTTTTCAGAAATCATCAAACCGGCTCCACACACGATTTGGAAAGGTCAAACTATCACTCTGTACGTGTGAGACCGCGCTGAATCACCTCCTGAATGCCAGGACCAGATTTATCAAATAGCATCAGTTGTTGCCAGACGGCCATATATCTGCCTTTTCTCCACAGCATGATAAGACGATTTTTTGCAATGTTTTGTTGGTATGTAGGTTAAGTTGTTTTGCAATATATCATTTGAAGATGAATTGATGTGGGTGGGTGAATGCAAGTGCAGATTGCAGTTGCTGATTGTGGCTTTTAGCGACCGTTTCTGCGTTACTTTTCGAACTGTGGCGATTTGCATCACTCGCACCATGCTTGGTTATAAAGAATCAAAGTCATATGCTGTGGACTTATTGTGGAAGGTTTGGACGTAACCCTGCCCATATGTATTTAGCCGGTACAGAAATAGGCTGAGACAGCACAAAATGCTATACGTATAAACAGTGTAATATATCGTTGCCTTGTCTCCATGCCTGCCTTTGTCATCTGCCATTGCAACACGTTACACCGACTATTGGATACCGCTTTTTGCCGAAATGCGGCCAGTAACAAGTTTTTGCTGTCGCAACAACTCTTGTCGTCTATGCAAGGCAACTAGGTCGCCAGCGAAGGGCGCATTGCTGAGTTATTGTGACTTGAACCGTTCAGCTGACCCATTACCAATCAAGTATCAGGTCAGCATGAGGTCAGAGGTCAGCATCCGAATAATGCTGCCGTCGGGAGGAAAAAAGCCGTAAGTCGCATTTTTATCGATTTTTCGTTTTTGATATCGTTGGAAAGCTCTTTTCATGATGCGTTTAATGGTACTGCTCAAACGTGTGTACACTCAAAAATGAACATATTATATATAATATAAAAATTCAAAAACGGATTTGTTACATCAGGGATAGCAAAACACGCAGGAAGAAAGCCGTATCCTTAAATTTGGCAGATACGGCATTTATACAAAATTTCAAACAAAGAATGTGGAACTGATAAGTCAGGAAGAAAGCCGTATCTTGTAGATACGGCTTTTATTTGATGGTGGCCTGTGAAATATGAGCCGAATCGTTGGCCCAGGCAGTTTGGAAGAAAGCCGTATCTACTCATTTAGCATGGCTTCGGCATATCCTGGACGGAACAGTTGAACATTTACACAAACATGCTACGTGATCGTAGCAATATGTGACCATTTATAGGGGAATTTTAATTGAAATAAAATAGGGAGTGAACTTGAGAAGTTTGAAGCCAACAGAACTTTGCCAGCTCGGTGGTGTCAGCAGGGTGCCGGGCATTCAGTATTTTGATGTGCTTACCAGCCGGGAGCGCCAGTATAATCCGACCGTTCTTTTCCCCAGCTTCGTTTAAAATTCCAATAAAAAATACCCGACTTAGCCTCCCCCATGATTAATTTGGCCTCCCTGTCCCCACCCCACCCCACAACCAAAATAGCATCATGTTAAGTTCGACCCGGTAATCATCATAGACATGCAGCTCGTAGCCGGCACGCTTAGTACGACGACCTACAATCTTTGTCGTAAAACCGTTAAAGATATAGTTGAATACCGTGAAAGGTCGGACGATTGCTATTGCCAACCTCGTCACATTCATTGTGATAATTGTGACCACGCCCATGTATCTTTGGGACGTCATCCCCTGTCACTTCCATTCCTGGTCAATGACTTTACCGTCTTCTTTCCGGCTCCCTCATACCATGATGCTCAATCATATTGGAAATTTAGGCTACCTTGTAGCACCCACACAAGCCCAGCATTGTCATATTCTACGGGCAGCAGTGTCCAGAGCCTACCAGCACAGCTGTGGCCGGTGGAGGATGCAGCAAGGCGTACTTAATAGCCCTCTGCTCTGTTGCAGTAGGCGCTATAATCAGAGCCCTGTGAATACGAGTGCACATTGGGGGGCCTTTTGAGGGTGCGCCCTCTAAAGGGCGTTCCCGCAGACGTGTGGAGCTCTCAGCAGTCTAGCGATCTCCGACAATGAGGCGGCATTTGCTTACACCCTCAGCCGCGGCACAGTGCTGTCGCCCTAGATGTTTCGCACAGGCTTTGTAGATGCAGTTTCTTTAGGGAAATTCCTGAAGTTCTTACACCATCCTCTATTTTGGTTCAGGAGCCGGGCGGTTCCGTGCTTGTAGGTGCACACCACGTGACTTAACAGCTTCCCTTTTCCGGGAACCTTGTGTCCAGCTAATCAGCAACATTCCCACTCATCCTCTTTTGCCCCCTTGAAGTGCTTTGAGGTCTGCAGATCGACGATGGGAAACTACACTATCTCGGTTCTCTCGACATTGTCGCCGTGGCTCCGGCGCAGCGGCAGACCGGCACACTCATCTCTCCGAATATATCGGTGGCTAAGAATTAACTCTGGAGTCCGGTGTAATCGAAAATTGAAGCACCGTACAAAGACAGCATTCGTGATTCCCCTTGTCGGTCGCAGGCACGTAGCCAAAATTTTGCTCAGGGAGGGGCCACAGGTCGCGGCCTAGTGTCGTGCCCCTCCAGAAAAGGAAAACTCCTCGGATTTGGCCCACTATCTCTTGGGGTGTGGTGCAGCTGTGGTTATTTTTTCTTAAATTTTATTTTATTTTTCGCCTTTAGAGGGGGGCATGGCCCCTGTGCCCCCCCCCCCTTGGCTACGTCTCTGGTCGGTTGGTCAAGCTGTCTTTTGATGGCACCCTGCGCAATCAGAATCCAAGAGCCTAAAGTTACGACAATAATGCGATTATGCATGGATGATGTAGTTTAAAATGGGTATCATGTTTGTTTTTGTATCGAACGTTCAATTAAATAGGTATCCACTAGGGTTACCCGCGTGCTCCGCAACGCGAAGAAGGGTTAATTTTGACCCGTAGGTATTGGGTTGGTCTGTGTCGATTTGGTTGGTATCCATTTCGTTCGATTTCTTTTTGACGGCCAAGCATTTTGTAATAAAACAAAAAAGATACATCGCATCGAGGTGCCCGTGTCGTATTATCATGCGTTCTACTTTAGAATGATTCGAAATCTGACGTGAAGTCTTTTGAGGGCCATCGATGAATTCCGGTAAAAATGACAATGTAATGGTTTGGAACATTTACATTTTTAAGAATACTGTTGATCATCATGCAAAAATGAAGGCTGAGCCTTGGACAGAATTGAATGCTCTTTCCAACGGTGCCATTTTTAATTGCCAGAGATATCAGATCATTGAGCAAAACCTGTGTGATTAATAAAGTGGCACAAAATTGACAAACACCATTTTCTTCCGTGATTTGTACCACCTTGATTTGGAGCAATCAGCTTTTCACAATTTTCTCATGAGAGGCGGTACATTTCTCTTGCCAACAGGCGTTGTTCCAACTCGCTCCGTTTAACGGTCACCTAAAAATAAAATCAATTCCAAAATCCGTCCAAAACGTCAATTTTCCACATAAAAGTGCCCTCCTCGGTGCACGTGGCGCGTGCCATCCTCTGCATCGTACACCATTCGATAGCCCGTTCAATTATCTGCACGATGCTGTTTTTCCCGTGCCGGTCGGATCCCTGGTCACCAAGATATTGCACGGGGACCGGACCCGTGTCGGCCAAAATTTGCCGTTTTCGCCCGATTTCGCACGCCGATTTATACATGTAAAGTCTATGACGCGAATTTGCACTTTTTGGGCACGCGCCACGCGCTCCCTATCAATCCGATCGAGCTGAGACCCCTCAAAGGCACGTCGCGCATCCTTGATCTATAAGTTGTGCAAATTTCACCGCGCTAGGTGCAACGGTCTGGCCTGTAGTCCACGCAAAGCACGACCAAGTCGGGACCTCGGTAACGGACAGACGCACCCTCCTCAAATAGTAATATAGACAAGCGGCTGCGCCACTTGCTTTGCTGCGTGGTAGGAAAAAATTGCGGCACCAGCCAATTTGCTTTCGAATGGTGTTCGATTCAAATCGATGTGTCGTCTAGAAGCATAGATATGGACGGAAATGTGAAGATAATTTAAAAAAGAACTGTTCTGAGGCCTTTGTTGGATGAAATTGGCTGAAACGGGGTCAAGACGGGTCAAAGGGGTCAGCCCCGGTCACTTTGGGTGAGGCCAGGTCACAAAGGTCACCTCGCGTCCGATGGGATCAGCCCGGGCCACTGTTCAACTTTTGCCTCCACCACTACCCCTTCCCCTACCACTACCCCTACCACTACCCCTACCACTACCACTACCACTACCCCTACCACTACTACTACCCATACTCCTACCCCT